TACACTGTACCCCATGTTTGCATTAATGTATACAGCTATCATTTAATAAAAAAAAAGATTGTTATAAAATGTTGACTTCTTTATGTTATATTTCTAAGAAAATAGTTACATTGGCAAATTGAAACCTTTCTTTTCCAAATGGTTTTATAACATCAGCAATTTTCATGATGGAATTATGAAATTCAGTTCTGTAAATTAAGTGGATCCTTATATTCTGTAGCAGATTATTTTTGTCTTTTACTACTTGAAATCACTTCCCACTCCCCAAAGTAGCAAATATAGCACATTAAAGATGAGAATTTTTATTAAAACAAAGGAGGAAGGGGTGGCAAAATCCCACCATGTGAGTTGCAGAATTTTATGCATATCCTTTTTATTCAGCATAATAATTGTCCAGTTACTTTGATCACATGTGAAGGTAGACAAAATTTGTAACTTCCATTAAAATTTTATTTTTTTCCTAGCTTTTTTTTGAAATTAGTATACTGGATCATTACTTGTAATTCATTTAATTTTCTATGTATCTTCGATTTTCCAAGGCTAAAACTGTTGTAGGTTTCCTTCTGTTAAAGCTAAATAATTGAATATCTTCAGTAAGTATTTAATATGACTCTATTTTAATGCAAAATATAGAGAGGCCAGGCTAAATTATTCTTTAAGGAAATAATGGTTTTTAGAATACTGGATCCAGAAGGATATGATTTGACACTCGGCATATCTGTTTCATTGATTAGCAAAACAAATCCTTATAATGTGTTAATTTACATAAATGATTGAGTGAAATTTATGTCATTCCTTAAATCTGTAGGCATATGCTCAGCTATTATGAATGCTGCAGTAAATATTGTTACTCAGCTTTTACTTATTTTAATTGTAAGTTTTTATTATTTTATCATATTTCTTTAACTTAATATTTATTAAATCATAACTGCATACATTTATGGGGTACAATGTGATGATTTTATATATAATGTGGAATGCTTAAATCAAACTAACATAACCATCACCTTAATTATTTTTGTGGTAAGACACTTATACTCTACTCTTAGTTGTTTTGGAAGTTACCCTTGCTTGTGGGCATTAGGTGAGATTCTGCCAAATACCCTTTCTCCATTCACCCTCCCCCTCCCCTCTCCTCTCCCTCCTCTGGACTAGCCTCTCCTCTCCCCTCTTTCTGGACTATCTTTGTGTTTTATTTATATGAATATGTAAGTGTATCTATATTGGTTTCATAATTGTATTGAGTACATTGGATACTTTTTTTCCCCATTCTCGAGATACTTTACTAAGAAGACTGCATTATAGCTCTATCCAGGTAAACATAAAAGATGTAAAATCTCCCTCTTTTTATGACTGCATAGTACTCCATGGTATACATATACCACAATTTGTTAATCCATTCATGAGTTGGTGGGCACATGGGCTGCTTCTACTACTTGGCAATTATGAATAGGGCTGCAATAAACATTCTAATGCAAATGTCTTTGTTGTACAATGATTTTTGTTCATCTGGGTAAATACCTAGTAATGGTATTGTAGGATCAAATGGTAGATCAACTTTGAGTTCCTTGAGAATTCTCCATACTTCTTTCCAAAAATGCTATAATATTTTGCAATCCCACCCCCAATGTAGAAGTGTTCCCTTCTCTCTCCATCCATGTACCACAATTTATTTATCCATTCACGAGTAGATGGGCATTTAGGCTGCTTTCATGACTTGGCTATTGTGAATGTACAGAGACCCTTTCTTGTTTTCCAGCTAGCAGTGCACTGTAATACTTCTCATCATTAGCACTGGCAAACAATATTAATCTTCTCAGTAGTCAAATATATGCTTGGTTTTATATCATTGTGGTGGAACAGGAGGTCCTTGATGTTGATTTGTGGAGAGTAGCAAAGGGGGCATTTTGGAAATAAGACCTCTGTACAGGTAAGTCCATGGTTCATGGTATTGCCCAGAGAAGAGAGGTGGGACTGGCCACTTAATTGTGCTATTTGAAGATGCTTAATTATGATGCAAAGAATATGGCCAGTCTCTATCCTTACCACCTGTACCCAACCCCTTCAAAATAAAAGTAATCAACTTAAATTATACATAAGAAAAGAAGTGTTAGGAGTATTCACATATGTCAGAGGATGATGAAAGAATTCTACTTAATTTTCCTGGAAGAATTAAAACAATTTAAGATGGGCTAATTGAGCTCATATTTTCTTGTTCTTAAATTTTGGATGTCAGTTGTTTATAAATAACAAAAGTTCCTGATGTCTTAAGTCACATATAACACTTTGAAACAGTAACGCTGTTGTTTCCATCTAGCATATATGATAACCGGAAGGAGACAGTAAGTGAAGACAAAGTGGAAGATATTTGGATACCTCGACAGGACAAAAACAGTTTTCTGATAGACTCTGCTTCTGAATCAGAGTACTCAACAGTAGAAGAATGCTTTCAGAGTTTAAAAAGAAAAAAATTCAAAGGCATCTAAATCTAGGACTCAAAAAGCATTGAATCTGGACCCTGGTAATAGGAATAGTTATCCGTTAAGCTCCTGCAGTGGAAATGCCAATTCATCAACCATATCCTCAAGTGCAATTTCTCCATACGCCTGTTTTTATGGATCATCCGCAAGGAAAGTTAAATCAGGATGGCTTGACAAACTCTCTCCTCAAGGGTATGTATGTATTCCTTTATTCCATAAATAGCATTTAAAAAAAAAACTCAGAATGTTAAGGGATACAGATGTTTTGTTTACATACTTTGTTTTTGTACAGATTGAGTCAAAGTTCTATATGTATTGTGCCTTCTACCTGACAGGTGTGAATTTAACCTATCCCCTCCTCTCCACTCCTCCCACCTTGATTTTCATTCAGATTTATTTCCCTTGTATACTTGAGTATTGATTGATTC